GCCCCAGGAGCCCTAAATGGGCTTCCCACAGGGACTGGAGCCCTCAGCTAGGTGCTCTGATGGTGAGAAAGAAGGGCCTACAGTTCAGAGCCCGAGTGTGGGCACGAGAAGCAGCCTGGAGGCCAGAGCGCAAAGCATGGCCCTCCGCTCACTTCTCTGGGCCGTGAAGTCCACGGCTGGCATTCGGTGGCTCCTGGGTCCCTTCCGTGGCATCTAGGGGAGGGTGTGGGGCAGCAGAAGCCACGGAACGCTGAAGGAGAGCTTATTACCTGCTAGGGCAGAAGTTGGCAGCTACTAAGAAAAACGGGGCCAGGTGCTGCTGTCCGGTCTGCCGTCAGGCTGCGGCAGGGGTGGGGCGAGGAGCGTGTGTGCCCAGAGGTGTGGACGCTGACCGCAGTGCCTCCTTCAGCTAGTTCCTGCAACCCCAGCCATCCTCTTGGGCAAGAATTGTGCCCGGCTCCCACATCTGGAACGTGCTGCTTGCATCCTGCCGCCTGACCAGATGCTGGCAGGTACAGAGGGGCTTTCCTGAGATCCAGGGAACGAGGAGGGTGCGGGAGAGGAGACCCGGACGGGTGGGGGCGTCTCCAGAGCTGCTCTGCAGAATCGCACCCAGCCTCCGGCTTCTTGAAGGACAGGAGAGCCGCCCACGCCGGAGCGGGGATGCATGGCCTCTGCCCCGAGGGCCCCCATGGGATGATCCCCGGTTTCCGAATTCTCACCTGGGGCAGGGCAGTGGGTGGGCTATGTCGTCTTGGAGGCTCTTTCCAGCTCCGGTTCTCTGTGGTTCCTGTGTGCCCCAGAGCCAGGCGTGGAGAGCGGAATGACGGTCACCCCTACTCTGGAAGCCTGCGAGATAACCAGGATGTTCCAGAAGCATGAAGTGATAGCGGGCAGAGTGTAGGGGAGTTTCCGGGAGGTCGGTGTTTCGCGGGCTCCGAATGTGTGGGTGGTGAGCAGACTTTCTGGCCTGCCCCGGCTCCCACACCAGCAGCCCCGTCCTCGGCGTCTACACTGGCGTGCCCACACTGTCCAGCTCGAGAAGTGCGTCCGTGCGCACGGCCCCGTCTGAGCTTCCTGGTGTCCCATGGCCCGGGGCATCCTAGCCTTGCGGCCCCCTGGGCGGGGCCCCTGAGCCGCTGCTGGACCTCGCTGAGCCTCAGTTTTCTCAGAAGAGCGTCCTGAGCGATAAATAACGTGGACGTGGACGTGGCAGATGAGGCGGGTCCTGAGTGAGTGCTGGTCACGCAGCCCTGGGTCGTTGGAGCCCAGGCCTTGCGGCTTGCAGCAGGGATCCGAGCGGGGGACTGCGCGTCGGGGCGCTCACACACCAGCTCCATGCGGGAGCGTTGCGCCCAGTTCCTCGGAAGCCCGGAGCACCGAGCCTCTGCCACTGGAAAGACCGTGACGTCTTTCCAGTACACACCCTCGTCCGCATTCTTTTCAGGACGGCAGAAAACTAGCGCCTGGTCCTCAGAAAGTTTCTCCAACACCGTGTGTGGTTTGTTGAGCTATTTAGAAGTAACCGCCCCCAGCTCGAAGTACTGCTGCGTGCTTCGCCTGCAGACGGACGTTCCCACTCATGACCTCGGTAAACACCGTTAGAAATTAACAGTTCCGGGCGCCTGGGTGGCTCAGTCGGTTGGGCGACTGCCTTCGGCTCAGGTCGCGATCCTGGAGTCCCGGGATCGAGTCCCGCATCGGGCTCCCTGCTCGGCGGGGGGTCTGCGTCTCCCTCTGACCCTCCCCCCTCTCGTGCTCTC